GCGACCTTCAGGCCAAAAATGGTTCTCCGTAAGCTTCAGTGGCTTAAACTACCTGCGCCCAACCTATTGCAAAAATGCTCTCAATAGGTGTTCCCTCGGCTGAAATCCTTTGGCTTCATGGTTTATTTAAAATCAAAATATAAATATATGTAAAAAGGGACCAAAAGCTAAGAAGCTGAGGCCTAACATTCTTGATGCTAAATTTGGCTAAAATATGGCTAAAAAAACAGACTCCAGCCGCCTAGTTTCAGCAGGAGCCCCAAACGGGGATGATAGTATTAGATATATAGTCTATATCTGGTATTAGCCAGAAACAAATAGCTGAAAAATATAGTGAAAGGATGTAAAAGGTTAACGTTGAATCATCATTTTCCCCGTGTAACCGGCCGTGTGGGGGTAGATGGGGAGGCAACCAGTAAGAACTGCGGGATTGGGGAAACTGGAGTTATGTGTCATGCCCCGCAGTGCAATTTCATTTCCTGGTTGCTCCGCTTCATAGCTCTCAATCCCTGCGATGAATCACGAGGTCAATCCAAACTGCCAAACAAGCATTTTTTTTGTTTGAGCATAGCTACTGGCAGATAGGTTCCAAACATTGCCGCGCTTGCGTGAATGACTATCAATATCTGGTGACTGCATGACAAATCCCAATAGTTACTGGGGGAATGGATCGCTGGGAGCCCCTGGCCACGGGATCTGTGTCGTCCCGAGTCATCTCTCCTCCGGTCCTGGCTGTCGCGTAGCCGCTCCGGCGATGGCGATTCCCCGCTCCCAGCCTCGTCCCATTTGTCGCCCCAGGATTTGTCCTGGGTGCCGTCACCATCTCAACCAATCTCAACCATCAATCAACATCAAATCAACATCAACCAACATCAACCACTCCTCCAATCAACATCAATCAACCACTCCCAAGGTCAGACATCCTGCAGCTGAGATACACCTTTGCCGCTTCCACTGTCTCTGCGAGTCGCCGGGGCAGCCTCTCAGGCTGAAGCTGCACGAGCTAGGCACGACCCCATGACTCAATCATCTCAATCCCTTAGCCTTGACGCTAGCCGCTTCACTGCCGCTTCACTGCCACTTCACCTTGATTTGTTTTTCATGTTTTTATATAGTGTGCAGCACCCAAAGCCCAAAGCTGTCCCCAAATCAAAATCCAGTTGAAGATGTTGAAGGGAGTTGCCACAAGCCAATGGTCCCACTGGTCCCAATGGCCCCCTGGCCTTGATGATACCAGCTCCAAAGGATCTGCTTTGGTCAAGCGCTTTGATGGCAACCTGCAGATGCCCAGTGCTGCAGGATCTTTGGTTGGCTATATAGCCCAACAACATGCATCAAACATGCTTTGATTCAGGTGATGTTAATAAACAGCCAGGATAAATTCAATATCGTTCAAGCATTGCGAAGGTCAATTGGAGCTGCCTCTGCATACTCTAGGCGTTTGAAGGTGACAAAGACAAAGGTGTCTCGCTCGGAATGCTTGATGTTGATGTCATCGATAGCACCGTATCTGCACGGGACAGCACGCTATGCAACGTTTGATTCAAATTTTGAGCCCATACATGTGTGGCAGCCATGAGGTTTCAGGGCTGTCGCCTGGAGCACACTCCTTCCACCTCGTCGTGTTTGATGTCTTTAGGAAGACCGCCCAACCATATACCTGGCCGACTGCCATAGCTCCCTTCCAAATTGGATCTTCGTCAGTTGGGCTGCACCTTTCCTAAGAAGTGTTCCGATAATGTGTATCTGAAATTTATCTGTATAAAATGTGTTGTGTATATTTTGTGTTATAGATTCTTATAGTAAATTCTAGCAGCCTAGCATAAGTTTACCCATGACCCAACTTGCTGACCACTTAGGACATTTAATTGGGATAGGTCCTAAGGCTCTCATGTCGCTCCAAAGCCGACCCACAGAACCCACAGGGCACATGGTTTCACGAGCTCGAGAGGCCTTAAATGGTAGGGTCATCTAAGGGGACAGCACAAACAGTGGATTTCGGGGTTGTGGGACTAAACTTGCGCTGTTTCAGCCCGAAAGAAAGACAATTTGCGAACTCAGAAACAACTTTAGCCAGATATCCCAGTACTAGTATCATTCATATGGGGGTTCCCATCAATGGAGGATCCCCAATAGCTGGATGTATATATTCTCGAATTTCCTTTTAAATGGATGATCTTTTTAGTATACCCGGCGGTTTTCACCCCTATTTCAGGAAACCTCCATATCCATCCATATCCATCCAACCACCATACTGAGCCCTCCAGCTGCCCTCCCTTTCCTTTGCCACGACCGCCATCATCGCCTGCCGGAGATCACTGGAGATCACTGGAGATCACTGGTACATAAGCTATGCTACAGTAAATGGGTGTGATATCCCTTTATATCTACTATAGTAGTAATATGTAGTAATAGTATGTAATATCATTACAGTTAATATCCATTCATATCCTAGATTTCCATGTATCATCATGTCTAACAGTGTAACCATTCATATTCACTTCTAACATCTTGTAACCATCCTCTAAACATGTTTTGAAGCATCCTCTGGATATGGAAAGCATCAACAGTTGTCTTCACTGTGCGTGTAGTCTGGGGCTCAAACGGCCGCCCATCGCTGCCCAAGTGTCTCTGCTAGCTACACTACCAATGGAGCCGAGATCGTTTCACAAAGATCTGCCTTGGCCTCGGTGGAACATGGTGGAACATGTGGAACCTGCTGGGAGTAGCCCTTGCTTAGCCTTGCGCAAGGCTTAGCCGCTAAGCCCTTCTTTTTTGGGAGGCACAGGGCGCTCGGAAGGCCAGGAGCGGCCAGTTTCAGGGGGCCATCTGCATTTTGCCGACGAGCCCCGATTGAGAAGATTTATTTGCAGCCTGATGGAAAAGGCTTGGCAGCTGCAAATTCCGAGTTGAAATTCTCGTCCTCGCAATCAGAACATCCAGGCCATTTCCCGGCAACGGGGCCGCTGAAATGTCAGCGCAAAGATGGACAAACAATGGCCGCCAAAATCAAAACACGGTGTGTAGCCGACAAAAAAGCGAGCTCAAACAAACAACAGGTCATATCCCATCATTCCAGTTGTCTTGGGATATAACTACGCATTGTATTATATGAATTTATATGATGGGATATGATATCATCTCATTCATCTCTAAAATAGAGCTTCAGTATGCAAACTCCTGGCCACGCCAAGAACACAAGAACAATCTGCAGCATCGCCCCCGATTCGCCAGGTGATCTCAGTATATCGCAGTTCCGACTCAGCGTTTTCTTCTGTGCCGTCTGCCCTGGTTGTGGCGTGGTGACTACTTGGCAGCTTCTAGTCCTTTCCAAAAACCTCTAGCCATCTCTAGTCCTTTGAGTTATTTGATGGCCAGAGTTGAAAGAACTTCACTATTCAAAATGAATAGAGGTGAATAGTTGTGTGTGTGTGTGTCATCCTCTAGTCATCATGGCTGTGTAACAAATTATCAGGGGCAGTGTTTTCTCCCCATTCATCCAGATATATCATGTTATATCCGTCCCATCATATCCCATCATTCTGGTAACGAATCATACTTAAAAACACTCAATCTGAATTTCCCTGTCCATTTCCCAATCTATTTCCCAATCTATTTCCCAACTGTATCCAATTAATTATATATTATATATGATTATAATATATATATATGATATTATATGGTATGGTTGGTTCATAGGTTCTCTTAAACAACTGGCATTGCTCGAGAGGGCCTTGGGACCGCTGACACCGCCCGGCGGAGCCATGGGACCCAGTCCGGGACCCAGTCCGGGACCCATGGGACCCAGTCCCATGGGATCCTCCATGGCTCCGAGGATGAAGGCCTCTAGGCCATCCAAGCCGAAACCTGGAAATCAATGGAAATCAAGGGTTTGATTGGAAAAAACCAGGAGAAATCTGTGATAATCTGTGCCTTGAGCATTGACAATGTACCAGTACGTGTTCTGTTAGTGTCCAGATGATGTGTTATGTTTTTTTTCATTTTTTTCATGTTTTCTCGTGATCTCTGCACTTTTGCAGCGTGCCACATTGGCATAGATTGTCGAGCCTGAGGATGAAGAGGCTCCGTAGCCACCGTTCAACTCCGCGCGGACTTGATTCGAGACCATCTCAGGGTACGACACGTCAAAACAGATCAAGAAAGCAGCTGTGCAGCTCCCGTGATGACCATTGACGACCAACAAATAGATTTCAATTGATCTCATCATATTTCATTCACTTCTCAATGACCTTCCTCTCTATTGGTCTTAAGCTTGCCTGGAATTCAGCTGCATGCTCATCAAGGAGGTGTTCCGCAGCCTAGTCGTGGTAGAAACGTGAGAAATTTCAAACATCGCCAGCAGGAGTCAGTGACATGTTTCAGCATCACGGCTGTTACACCTTCAAGCTCTGTTGGAATCCCGGTGTCAGAGATAGGTTGTTACCTGGCCTCGTGAACCCTTCGGTTGATGCCTTTGGGGTCCTTTGGAAACTCCTGTATGCTTGGGAACCCTTCCTTCGGGAACCTCTTCGTATGATTTACATTCAATTTCATATCCTGTAAGAACTCTTGATTCGAAAGCCTTCTGCATGCGGAGACATTGTCATTGGGATTTGGTCCTTGCAAACCTCTCGTTAGGGAACCCAATTTTGCAAAGCTGTCTTTTGAAAGCTACGTAGTCTTCAGCACCTTTGAGAACATTCTGTTCGGAAGCCTTCTTGGAAACCTCAAGAAACACCTGGTTTTCAGGACTCCGGGTCTTCTCTGAAACCCTCATGACCCTCACTGAGACCGAAAAAATCGCGGATTCACTCTGTCTTCTTGCTGAAACGTTATCTTTGAAAACCTCATGTGCGAACCTTGCGCTTGGATGCGCTTGGAAGATTGTGTTGCCTTATGTTTGGCACTGTGGAAAACTGGTTCCAGAATCTGCTAGCCCTTGGGAACATTGGGAAGGAGAACCTTCGGAAACGCTACAAACGCCAGGAGCAACCGATTTCTTGATGCTGTGAGATCTTTACATTATGGCAAACGACCCAAAGCATTGGTTGTTGGTAAAATGTGAAATCACAGCTGGAGTTCAGTTCATCAGAAATCGGTCCGTCGGTCCACTATGTTCTATTTAGATTCGGTAAAGCAAGGATGGCCCTTCTGGCCTTGCGACCGTCCAAAAAAGTTCTTACCGAAGCATGTGAGACCCCAATTGATCCCAATACCAGCCAATTATCATCCCAATGATGTGATTGCAATGTAGTACATATACAGAATGAAGTCCTATGCACAGTGCAGTTTTTAGTTGTAGCGCCTCTTCTTGCGACTTGAGAAGTGTGCCACAAAGGTTACAACGAAAGCGCAGCCCTGCGCCCTGCCACGCCAGCACAAAGGCAGGAGTGATCTAGGTGTGTCTGAAAATTCAGGGGAAGAGCTTCAAATCCCATGGCCTATCATTGTTTTGACTCATTTTCCCGCTGAACATGCTAGAAGTTTGGGTATGCCCCGTGTCTGAGTGGGCCCATCTGCAAGTTGGGATGCTTCTAACTGCACAGCGACAGCGTCACTGGGCCTGGCGCTCTGGTCGAATATTCATTTCAAAGAAAGCTTCGAAGAGTTCTCTTTCCTGTTCCTCCTGCTGAGCAAATCTTGATGGATCTTGAGTCATTTTGAAGGGGGTTTCCATAAATGGGGGTACCCCTATTAGGATGGTTTAGAATGGTAAATCCATGTAAATCCTATTAAAATGGATGATTTTGGGGCACCCCCATTTTAGGAAACCAGCAAGACTAAGTGACCCATGGCAAAATGGCAAAAGAGGTGTCACATTTTCCATTTTGCCTCGTCCTCTTCTTCCTCCTCCTCCATTGCAGCAGCTGCTTTTTTGTGGCACCTCAATGCGATCAGAGGGTTTCCACCCATGCGGGGAACACAGAGCTTTTATCGACTTCTCTGAGCCTGGCACTTTAGACACATACTGAAGTCGCACTTGCGACAGTCAAAGAAACGCTTTCCATCCAAGATATCTTCTTGACAGACATCGCATTCATAACCTGCAAATCGAGGCTGATGAGGCTGATGAGTCTGGTTCTTCCTGAGATATAAACACAAAACATCACAAGACCATACAAAACCAAGAACGTGAGCACGATGGAAAGGCTGTGGATGGTGCCGCAGTGCCTCCATCTGCCTTTTTCCTTTTCAATGTGTGCCTCAGAAGTCCAAACCAACGAAAAAACACAACGATGCTTTCAATGCGAAAGCTTACAGCCAAACATGTTGAACAGGTGACTAGAATGAGTGCGGAACCCTGCTGGACATGTGACTTCGGCCATTCCTCCCATCATAGGGCCTGAGACTCGATATTGGTGACATCTTCAGCTCTGAGGCTCGACCAGACTAGCGACCCACCTGCCATTGCAGCCATAAAAGCCTGAGATGAATAGGTTCTGTCAGAAAGTTTCGGGAAACCACGGGAAACCACTTGGCCCAAAGTTCACAGAGACTTGTTTGTTCTGGGAATGTGCTGGGCCCTACTGCCCTACTCTGGCTTTCTTGATCTTTCTTGCACTAAACAAGAGCTTCTCATCTTCTCAGTGCCTGCTCGAATGCTGTCGCCTGCGCCTTTGCGCGGCGATTTCTTCCCTGCAACCAGAATGCTGCAAGCGTCATATTTCCATCGATATCAATCAGCACAGTGACCACAGACTTGACAGGCACAGAAGTAATGTTCATGAATGTTTCATGATTTTATCATATTTTATCACTCGCCTTCTTCCTCGAACGGCCAGCCTTGAATGCCCAAACACGTGCTTTGAAACACTGCTTGAAAAGTGCCATTATCATCCCTCATTGGTTGGATAGAAAATCAGCATCAGCATATAATCAGCACTAACAAATATAAGATAAGGATGACAATGAAAATAGAATATAAATGAATATAATAAATTATAATAGTAGATGATGCACCTGAAAAACTGGTAGAAACCCATCAACACGATCTCAAACCAGTCAGTGCACAGGAGTTTTTGAGGGCCTTGAAGCTGAATGCGCCGGAGGTCATTCTTAGAAACTCATCGAGCATCGCCTGGGAAGCTGAGGGACTCTTTCCGTCAAAATACCAAGCCACTAGATGCCATATTAGCTTACCAACTTGAATCAATTGAATATGGGCCTTTTATGACCTTTTCAACTATCCCTCTTTGGTGATGCTTGGGTTTCCACACAGACTGTTGAGCACACGTGTTTCTGGTACTGCACACTCTGCTAGACTTATTGACCATCTGCTCGTCGCTCTGGTCGTGACCTGCTCTTCATCATCAAGATCTTGTGCCATACCGCCACCGAAGAAAGCTGCAAACAAATCTTCAGCACGCACAAAGCCTTAGTCATGCATTGGTTCTGTCGTACGGGTCGGGCCATTCAGCAGAGAGTGATGAATCTCTGTGGAGCGCACCATCCTCTCCGCCGAACTCCTTTTCAGGGCTAGGTGGGTTCAGCTTTAAACCAAAAAAAACCTGAAAAGGCTTCTTGTGCCACGTTCAGCCCTTCCCTTCTCACTGTTGCAGAACTTTGGGGCAAATATAATATATTTATAATTTATAATTATTTATAAGTATATATATAATATGTAATATGTATAATATAAATATACAGTATATATATATAATTATATATATATGATATGATAAGCTTGTCAGCTTGTTACTTTGCCAAGACATTGCCAATCCATGAATTTCCATCCTCTTCATCCACACAGCCAGTGGAATCATAGAAAGCACGGCGCTTGGGATCCGAGAGCACCTGTCAGGTCTGCTGCAATCGACGTCAGGTCACTGCTTAGGTGCCCACCCGCCTCGTAGGCGTTTGCAATTTTCTGAAACCTGCCGCATCGCCAAACATGGCTCGATTGCCAGACGCCAGACTACACGCGGCTTTTACATATTTTCACATCTCGAAAGATCTCGAAACAGTGCTCCTTGCACTCCATCACCTGAGACTCTGGCTCCGCAGTGGCATTTTCATTGCCTTGATTCTTGTCCTGGAGCAGAGTCACATGGGATCACAATGATGCTTGAAGATGGGTGAAGCATCTAAGGTGCCGGCAGGGTGACATTTCAAAGCCAATCGTCGATATGCTTTCCTCATCCAGTCACATCACTGGATGATTGAAATATTCCAATAACCCTAAAATTGGATGAGAATATTTCCAATAACCCATATGGAATGATTGAAATATTCCAATAACCCATATTGCCATATTGGTGGAATTATATCCCGCTTATCTCCCCATTCGCAACGTTGGAACCGTTGGATCATGGATCAATCCACAGGGGATTGGCGCGCCTGATGTCCGTCTCATCCGCATTGACGTCCAGGCCAAGTGAGTGGTACAAACCTTTGGGGTCCTCACAGCTGAGCATGGCTGATTTAAAGAGAAGTTTTTTTTTGAGGAGTATGTTGTATATATATATGTATATTGTTATGTATGTGTGTGTATGTATGTATGTATGGATGGATGGATGGATGCATGCATGCATGGATGTATGGACGGATGTTGGTATCATATGGTATGGTAGGGTATATGGTATGTATGTAATGTAATGTAATGTAATGTAATGTATGTATGTATGTATGTGTGTATGGTATGTGTGTATGGTATATATGTATGGTATGTGTGTATGGTATGGTATGTATGTATGTATGCATGCATGCATGCATGCATATATGTATATATGTATGGATGGATGGATGGATGGATGGATGGATGGATGTAATTATTTATTTATTTATTTATTATGCGTGTGTATTAGTATGTATTTCTATATATATATATACACATATATATATATATATATCATTGTGTATGTGTATGTAGGTGTATATATATATAATATACACAATGTCCTGTCAGGATGCCCCAACATGGTCACAAAATGACCGTGTTTATTTGAATAGGGAAAATGAGACAAAGCCCAAAAATGGCCAAATCATGAAAATCCAAGGGCCAGTCCTTAGGGGCAGCCATCAACCCTGGCTACCTTCCGCAAATGTTTGGACGGGTCAGGTGACTTGGCTGAAATCTTCGTGTCCAATGGTTACCGTTTTCCTGGTATGCTGGGGGCTGAAATGGCATCTGGCAGAGGTTTTTACAAACTGCCTGCTGCAATGTCATGCAGTGTCTTGAGGGAATCAAAGCCATTGCGCCCGGCAGCAAGCTGCAGCACTGCACATGCAGATACAAAGTTTCCTTCCAGGAAAAAGGGACATCAAGGTGGGAGCAACCCCCCATGGAGTGTCCGCCAAGTTTACTGACAATGAGATGCAAGAGTCGGAAGAGAGTGGAACCAAGGGCTGGGGCCTTGGACCATGATGAGATCCAAATCAGCAGAAGCATCTCTAAGAAATCACAAGTCGTGGGAATGTCATGAAAGAATAGTACCACCATTCAGGGGCAGAAGTGCCTCCGCACTGCTTTTTTCTTCGCGCTGACTGTTTGCTTGTTTGAGCCACTCTGGCGCACCCCAGGGCATAAACCGTTCAATTGAAAAGCATGGATTTACTTCATCACCTGCACAGCTTATGCGCAGCCGCCATTGTGAAACTGAAGCCGCACCACTTTGTGGTGTGAAACCACGCAGAATGCCTCAGCCAATTAGCCACACAGCAATCTGCAGTATCGCACAGCCAGGGATCTCATCCGGCACCATGCTGTCGCAGGCACGGTGATTTTCCAGTTTTGTGATTGCAGGCTTGCATCCTGCTTATGTATAAATACATATACACAATGTATATATATATTACAATCTGTACAGAAAGAAGCAACCCTTTACGAAGAGCAATTCAAGGGTTTTTCATTTCGTTATTTGATTATTGAGTGCCTGGGAGTGCCTCAAAGCATGTGTTGACAGAATTAGTGGCACAATTGTGGCAGGATGGCATTGTGGTTTTCAATAATCCCAAATAGCAGTCTGCCATATTTCGTGTGTATATATATACACGACATACGTGTATGTATATATATATGTATTATAGTATATCGTGTATCATCATATCAAACACATATAATAAGATATATATATATAATAAATTATATATAATTTATTCAAAAAATAAAAACAATATGAAATAAAAAAAATAATATATAATACAAAACATCTAAACATTTATATGATATTATAACAAACAACAATAACATATAATCAAATATAATATAATACGTACAATAAACAATAACTGATGCTTTATACATCATGCAATATAATTATGTAAAATACTAAAATATAAAATACAAAAAGATATCTGATATTATACCCCAACAATGTAATATCATTACCGATTCTCTATATATTACATTATACACACTATATGATATAGTATAATATGATATTATATGGTATAATATGGTATGAATGGATATCATAATCATATATATTTATATATACATATACAATATAAACTGCAAATATTATATGATATAATATGTTATGCAATAAACATGTTATACAATATGTTGTGATATAATAAAACATATACCATATATAACATATAACATATAATATAAAGTGTATTAAAGATGAACCAATTACATCAGAATATGTCAGCCTTCGATAGCATCGATGGCAGCATGACTTCGCCGGCCTCTGTGAAACCTATGCCGATTCGCATCGCCGCTAGCCTCTGAATGACTTGATCACCTCACGGGTCTCAGTGTCAACGATGACAAAGGACCTGTGGCTGGCAAGTTCCGAATGTTAATCCCGGTGGGTTAAAAATTACATTAACCAGATGTGGATATATGTGGATTCTGTGGTTTAAAAGTTGGGAGTCGAAACATATTCAAACCTTCGATCTCGATCGAACAATAAGACTTTGCTATAAGCACAATAGAGACAAAAACAAGACATCTGATGAATGCAGGAATGATGTGAAAGAGCTCACAAATGCTTTCAGTGCTAGGTGAATGCAATAGGAATGCAATTCTATATCTTCTATGACATTGCTTTGTCTGGATTGCTGTTGCCCTTAGGGCCCTCGGGGTTGCTGCACTTTCAAGCCACAAAATGTCCTGGGTTCCAGCCTGAGAAAGTCGTCATATGCAACGATCTGGCCATCTTCATCCTGGACATGCACAGATCTCACAGGGCTTGGCATAACACGGCATGGCATAATTAGCTCGGCTATCGCTCGGTTGGTCCTCAACTGCCAAAGCTGATGACAAGTGCTTGATCTGTGACTCGGAGATTCCTTGCTCATTCCTGGCAAGCTAGTTGATCGAGAATCTGCGGCTTCTGAAGGTGCGAACACACAGGCAGCTAGTGCTATCTAAGGCTTCTGCGAGCGCAGGGCATTGTTCACTCCACGAAGCACATTTCCAAACTCCTTCCAGACAGAACAGCATGGCCGCCATGGCCCACGGAATCGCTTGAGTGCAAGATGCTGTGGGTGCAGTCCTCGCAAAGCACTTTGCAACTGTCAACTTCGTCAAGAAATTGACAGCCGGTGCGGATGTGAACCCTGTAGCCTCAGTGTTTTTAGGCGGCTCTATTATGTTCCATTCATGGTGAAACCGCCAGCAGAGTTGCCTCGTTTCACCCCTGAGGCCCCAACGGAATAACAGCGTGGTGAGATCCTACATCAGCAGGGTGCATCTGGTGGTCATCATTGATCATATTTGATCGTGCTCCACGAAAAAATCGAAAAATCATGGTATAGGATACTTCGTGATCAATCATGATGATAAGTCATGATAAATCGACATCTGGAAAAGATCGGGAAGAACCTTTTATGCCTTCCCGCACTAAGATAACCTATCCAAATAGGGGGATTGGCAGGCTACCTTTCTCCACGTATTGCCTAAGTCTCAGGGTCAGATCGTATTTGGCGGGACCCCCATCCCGTATGAGTTTGTCCCCCATTCAAATCATAGGCATTTGCAGGCTTCATACCACAATGTCAGATCCATATCTGTCTAAAAAACACAATAAACCTATGAAATCCCGCATTTGGAAATGAACATCCACAAATCATCATAAATCCCATAGAAATCCCAGCTTCAAAGTGTTCACCAGGCGACCATCTCCAATCTCCCAACCTCCACCAGACTGTTCTCCAAGTCAGTGGTTCCCTGTCCCTTCAGCTGGAAAGCCTGGAAAAAACGGAGATTTCATGGGAAATCCATGGATTTTCGACATCAATTTCTCTGAAAATATTAATGTGTATATATATATATGTGTGTGCGTGTTTTTTTTACATACATACTTACAAAAACAATTTAATCATATATGTCTATGTTTGATGCATATATATATATTAAAGAATATATATATAATAGACTATATATAATATAGAATATATATATATGATATAGAATACATATAATATAGAATATATATAATATAGACTATATATATATAAATAGAATTGAATATATATATATATATACAATAGAAAAAATATGTATTAATAAATAAATATATATATATATGATTTTAGAATATAAAAGGAAG